CCAAAAACTGGTGGTGATCTCAGGTGCTCCGGAAGGGTAAGCAGATCCTGCTCCACATGTGGCACCCATCGTGTTGCTCATGTAAGTGCCAACCCGGCGATAAGTCTAATTCGGTAGGTAACATTCGGGGAAAAGGGGAGAGATTGTAGTTACAACAATTAGAACATATCCGTCGTCATCTTTGGCGTCCGAGAAATTTACGAAGGGATGATTCAACTTCACCACTTGGAACTCTTGGTTTAATAGCTTCCTTGTGAGCAGCAACCCTCTATCAAGGAAATCATGATTGGAAATACAAACCCTGGAATATCGCATCAACTGGGAGATATATACTCCGTAAACAGGCGCTGCTTGAATGTTGCTACGTAGAAATGGAAAGTTCACAATTGGGAAGTTGAAATCAATTCTTTTGTCGTAACGTTTTGTTTTCAACCGACTCTCATTGTCAATTTCTAGATGAAAGTCAAGATATGAGGCAGACTTAACTGTATCTGTTGTATCATTTATCTCAAATGCAATGGGATAGATGCGTTCAACATAGTCACCAAATTTTGAATTATTTAGTGAGAGAACATAATCTATATAGCGGAAAGTGAAGTTAAGGACACTGCTAACTTTTTTTCTTTCTTCCTAAGAAGTTCCTGTATGAAGTCAGCCTTATATATGAATAAAGGAACATGTCGACAAGAAGAGCACAGTTGGTTCCCATGGGAATGCTGATGATTTGTTGAAAAACACGTCCTCCAAACGTCACAAATATGTTGTCAATCAAGAAATCAAGCATCTTGATAATGGCAGTTTCAGAAAAAAAAATTGTTTGAATCAGAGTGATTTTTTACAAAGTACGATAGAGCTCAACAAATAAACTGTGTTCTTGGATGATTATGTAACCAATAATATTAATTCTTTTCTAACTTTTCGTTTCTTAACAGATGGGTATGGTTAATGAATATGGAAGATATATAGATTACCCATAGAAAAGTGAATTTATTTCAGACTCTATACACCTTCAAATCTATATGAGGGTCTGGGTGGGGACAAGCTAGGATTTGTATATCTTACTATACAAATCCTTGGTGAGCGGGGTAGGAGGGGTCCTGATCCCGAAATCCCGGGCTTAAAAACATTCGATTGGAATAATTACTCAATCAAACAAAAGGCATACAATACAAAACAATGTCAGCAATTAATAGACATATGTCAAGAAAACTATTTAGAACAAGTTGTAACTACACCAACACACTATACAGAAACATCACAGTCCATACTTGATCTCTTTTTTACTAATAACAGCTCTCTAATAAATAAGACTCAAGTTATTCCTGGAATATCAGATCATGAAATTGTATATATCGAATCGAACTTAAAACCTAGAAGGTAAAAAAAAACACCTCGAAAAGTATTCCTATACAACAAGGCAAACAATGATCAAATTAAAGAAAAGATAAACAACATAAATCTTAACAATATTACTAAAATAGAAGAACTTACAATGGATCAACTTTGGGATAATTTCAAAACAATAGTATTGAAAACCATGGAAGAGTCTATTCCAACTAAAATGATAAATAACACAAAACAGAAACTACCATGGGTTAATAAAGAGATTAAATCACTTATTAGAAAAAGGAATAAATTGTTTAAAAAAATGAAAACAGACTCTCACAATAAAATTAGTAAACAGTACAGGGAAACAAAAAAACTGCTTCAGAAAGAGACAAGAAAAGCCTACTGGACTTATTTAGAAAACATCATTTGCTATGACGAAAGCCTAGAAACTACACAAAAACAGAAAAAATTTTGGAATTACATCAGATCCACAAAAAAAGACAGTTCAGGAGTTGCACCGTTAAGATCTGAGGGTATGTTGATAGGTGACACAAAACAAAAAGCTGAAATACTTAATAAACAATACCATTCCAGTCTGTTTTTACACCCGAAAATGACAATGAACAAATACCAACTCTTACAGACGACTATCCATCTATGTCAGAAATACATGTAACATCAAATGGTATAGAAAAACTCTTAAAAAATCTCTATCCATCTAAAGCCACAGGTCCAGATGAAATACCAGCACGCATCCTAAAACAGTTTGCATCTGAATTCGCACCACATCTCACTTTCATTTTTAACACATCATTTTTGAAGGGAGATGTACCATCAGAGTGGAGACAGGCAAATGTAATTCCCATTTTTAAAAAAGGCGAAAAATACCTAGCCAGTAACTACAGGCCTGTCTCCCTAACGTGTATATGCTGCAAATTACTAGAACACATTGTAGTAAGTAACATACTAAAACATCTGGACACAAATAACATACTAGTGGACAATCAACATGGCTTCAGAGCAAAACGCAGCTGTGAAACACAACTTCTTACATTAAGTCACGAACTACTCAGTAACCTTCATAACGGCATACAAACAGACCTTATAATTTTAGACTTCACCAAGGCATTTGACAAGGTACCTCACAAAAAATTACTAAGGAAGATGGATAATTATGGCATAAGGGGAAATACCTGGAATTGGGTATCAGCCTTCCTTAGTAATAGAACGCAACAGGTTGCCCTAGATGGGGAGGTATCTGGTCAAATGCCTGTGGTCAGTGGGTGCCTCAAGGCTCAGTCTTGGGTCCTCTTCTTTTCCTGATTTTCATAAATGATCTTCCTGCAACAGTAACATCAAAAACACGCTTGTTTGCAGATGACTGTATCTTATACAGAACAATTAAAAATCTGTAACATCCTACAAAATGACCTAGACTGCCTAGCCAAATGGGAACAGACTTGGGGTATGCAATTTCACCCAGAAAAATGCAATTCACTTACTGTAACAAGATCACAGTCACCATACAAACCGTGGCATAACTATATACTTAAAGGCCACATTTTAGAATCCGTCAACACCGCAAAATATCTTGGTATCATCTTATCCAACAACATGTCTTGGGATACTCATATAAACAACATTACAACTAAAGCAAATAAGATCTTGGGCTTTTTAAAAAGAAACCTAAAAATAAACCAAGAAGAAACAAAAAGTTTGGCTTATAAATCTATGGTACGTTCAAACCTAGAATACTGCTCTTCAGTTTGGTCTCTTAACACCCAAAAACAAAAAAACAACATCGAAAAAGTACAGAGAAGGGCAGCACGCTACGTCACCAACAGGTACCACAACACCAGTAGTGTCACTTCCATGATTGACCATCTTAAATGGAAGTCACTAGAAAATCGTAGAAACATCAACCGAGTAACAATGATGTATAAAATCACACACCACCTTATATAGCAGTAGACCCAAACCTTCACCTTTCACCACAGCCAGTCAAAAACACCAGATTCACAAATTCACTACAATATCAAACATTCAGTACCAGAACAGATTACTTTAAGTACAGCTTTTTCCCATACACAGTTGTACTTTGGAATTCACTTCCACAAAACATCATTAGTGTCAACTCTTTGGATCACTTTAAAACACTGATCCAAAGTCAGTATATTTAAATATCTACCCTGTTTGTATATATATGTAAATGTGTTTATTTTTATTATATGCACAAAATTATTTTTGATTATTGCACTCTTAAAATTGATATCTTTTAATTAGTGTCTGTTTGCGATGCGCCGACGTATAGTCATCAATGTGCTGATGGATCGTCGTACGATGTAGATGTAGATGTAGATGAATCCCGAGGTCCCGAATTTAAAAAATTTAAATCCCGACATCCCGAATTTAAAAAATTTAAATCCCGACATCCCGACTGAATTCGAAATAAGAATTCCCGGATACCGAAATCCCGAGCTTAAAAACACCCGATCCCGGAGTCCCGATAAAGGTCCTTACCCCCCCCCCCCCCCCCCCCCCCTTGGTGGGGATTACAAAATAGAAAATAAATGCAAAAATAAGTAATGAATAGAGAAAAATAAGCAAAAATTAAAGACTATAATCGGGCAAAAGTATAAATAATAATTGTGGAAAAGTTAATAATATACTGATTACATAAATAAATGATTTACAGAAAAGTCACTGACGGTAAAATAATTTCATGAGAAATTTACAGAATTCCATGATACATTTCATACAAAATATTGTTTGCATTTTTTGTGCAATTATTTGTGCACTACCAATTTCATGTTATAACCATTGTAAAATTGTTATATGATTGGTCAATAAGAAATCGCGTCGATAAATCCGAAATTTGTGTATTCACCGGTGAACCGTTTCACGTAATGAAAAGTAGTGCATAATGTAATGCTATATTTTACCATTGTGTTTACTTGAATTGTTGTATTTTATAAAGATATATATTTCATATTATAAAATCATGAAGATGATATTATTTTGCTGCTAATCACATTTTTCTCATGAATTTTAGGAATTTATTAATACGCTACATCTTCCGATCCTTTTCACATTACACTATCGCAGGGTAAGCACGTGGCGATAAGTTCCTTACAATTTTGTTTCGTTTTTGCACTATTTCTTAATGCAACGTAGCTAATATTTTAACAGACTACCCAAGATTAGTCCCTAAGACAAAGTGACAAATAAAATCCTGGATAATTGACTGTGTGGGGTTAAACCTATATTTTATGCCAAATTATGGATCTCGACCCTCCCCCTTTTTAATGGTTCATCATAATCTGGATTAAAAAAAATAGCTTTTAACACTAGTGAAGTATGCCTCATTTGAGGAATAGTTACTCATTTGGAGAACTATTCCCCAATTGGTTGGTTATCCCGGGACCCTAACCTGTTTATCTATATAAATAAAAGTTGAATGCATGTTGACATTGTTGTGTTTCAGCTGGGAACAATATATATGTTCCTGGTTTCAGAAAGATCAAATCTTTTTTTAATTTTTTATGGGCTTTTTTTTCGTTCAGGAAATCAGTTTATTGAAATTGTTGGATAACATCCCGCCTTATGAGAAAAGCTCCAGCTGTCATTGATTGTGTAGGGATTTTGTGATGTGAATATGAAGCCACTTTTTCAGTAATTTTATTTCTTTTATAGGTATAAATCATGCCGCGAGTGCCGTTGGTACAGTCAAAGACATTCACAACTCCTAGACGTCCCTTTGAAAAGGAACGTTTAGATCAGGAGTTAAAACTCATTGGAGAATATGGATTGAGAAATAAAAGAGAGGTATGGCGGGTGAAGTTCACTTTGGCCAAAATCAGAACTGCAGCTAGAGAATTGCTCACACTTGATGAGAAGGACCCTAAACGTTTATTTGAAGGTAAATAATATATATATATAATCTTGGTTAATTTTAATGATATTCTGAACATTTGAATTTACCTCTACTTGTATAATTTCAATGCTAATATTAAAATTTGGAATTTGAATATAAATCAACTTTATTGCCTTATCCTCTGACATTTTAAAATAGAAGTTTTATGCTATAATGAACATTATTAAGCATGATTCACATTTCAATACAGTTATTTAGAACTTTGTTTTTCCGACTCACATTCAAATATGACTAAATACAACAAATGTTTAAAAGTTGGTAAGTAAATAGCTTATCACTTAATGTGTCGCAAAGACATTAATTTGACAAGTATTTATGAAGGAAAAGCTGTGTACTACTAATACAAAAGGAAATATTAATCTAGTAATCATTTGCACAAGAATTTATAAATGATGACGGTGGTGTGCAGCATCTCGCCAGATATTGCCTGGTAATGTACCATCATCCAAGCCTCTATACATTATATATTACAGAAAATGTTAAAAGTTCAGGATTCAACATTGCAAAATTAATATTTTTCTACAGGTAATGCATTACTACGACGTCTTGTACGTATTGGTGTACTGGAGGAATCCAAAATGAAGCTTGATTATGTGTTGGGTTTGAGACTTGAAGATTTCTTGGAAAGACGTCTTCAGACACAAGTGTTTAAACTTGGATTGGCTAAGAGTATTCATCATGCCCGTGTTCTTATCAGACAGAGACACATAAGGTAATTAGGATTGTTTGCAATCAAGAAGTTTGTTTATTCATTTTAAAATGAACAAACATTTTCAAAATCAGGGTTTTTTTTCTGAGAATTTGAAGAAAATTTATAAAATAAAATTGAGAATGGAAATGGGGAATGTGTCAAAGAGACAACAACCTGACCACAGAACAGACAACAGCAGAAGGCCACCAACAGGTCTTCAATGCAGCGAGAAATTCCCGCACCCGGAGGCGTCCTTCAGCTGGCCCCTAAACAAATATATATACTAGTTCAGTGATAATGAACGCCATACTAAACTCCAAATTGTACACAAGAAACTAAAATTAAAAATAATACAAGACTAACAAAGGCTAGAGGCTCCTGACTTGGGACAGGCGCAAAAATGCGGCGGGGTTAAACATGTTTATGAGATCTCAACCCTCCCCCTATACCTCTAGCCAATGTAGAAAAGTAAACGCATAACAATATGCACATTAAAATTCAGTTCAAGAGAAGTCCGAGTCTGATGTCGGAAGATGTAACCAAAGAAAATAAACAAAATGACAATAATACATAAATACTAACAGACTACTAGCAGTTAACTGACATGCCAGCTCCAGACTTCAATTAAACTGATTGAAAGATTATGTCTTCATCATATGAATATCAGGCACAATCATTCCCGTTAGGGGTTTAGTATCATACCATCATAACATATATGAGAAGAACATAACCCGTGTCATGCCAACAACTGGTTTTTATACGACCGCAAAAAAATTTTTGTGGTCGTATATTGGTATGACGTTGGCGTCGTCGTCGTCGTCCGAAGACACATTGGTTTTCGCACTCTAACTTTAGTTTAAGTGAATGGATCTTTATGAAATTTTACCACAAGGTTCAATACCACAAAAGGAAGGTTGGGAATTATTTTGGGGGTTATGGTAATAACAGTAAAGGAATTAGGGGCCAAAAAGGGGCCAAAAATAAGCATTTTTGTAACTTCCAGACATAACTTGTGTGTTAGTGTATGGATCTCTCTGACATTGTACCACAAGGTTCCATATCACTAAAGGAATGCTGGGATTGATTTTGGGGGTAATTGCCTCCAAATTTTAGGAATTAGGGGCCAAAAAAGGGGCAAAAAACAAGCATTTTTCTAGTTTCATGACAATAACTTGTGTGTAAGTGTATGGATCTTTCTGAAATTGTACTTCAAGGTTCCATATCACAAAGGGAAAGCTGGGTTTGAGTTTGGGGGTAATTGCCCTAAACGTTTAGGAATTTGGGGCCAAAAAGGGGCCAAAAAACACATTTTTTTCTAGTTTCCAGACAATAACTTGTGTTCAAGTGTATGGATCTCTCTGAAATTGTACTGCAAGGTACCATACCACAAAGGGAAGGCTGGGATTGAGTTTGGGGGTGATGAATCATAATGGGGGTTCAAAAAATTTTGGGGGGGGATTTATTTTTTTTTCCTTTTTTTTCTTTTTTTCCTTTTTTGTTTCTTTTAAAATTTTCCATTTTAAGTTGGTTATTTCTGATTTATATTTAAAATCAAATAATAATGATATGGTAGGAGATACACACCAAACAGGATGTGTAAATTATTATATAATAAGTATTGTGCAATAGCAAGAAATTTTCAATTGCACAGTATTGCACAATAGCAAGAAATCTTCAATTGCACAGTATTGCGCAATAGCAAGAAATCTTCAATTGCACAGTATTGCGCAATAGCAAGAAATATCCAATAGCACAATATTGCGCAATAGCAAGAAATTGTCAATTGTACAGTATTGCGCAATAGCAAGAAATATTTAATAGCACAGGATTGTGCAAAAGAAGATACTTCCTATAAATTGCTTATTTCTTGACCAATTTCAATGGGGTTTTATTCTTGATTTCATGGGGTTCTTTAATATGCTGAATCTAACCGTGTATTAAGTTTTTGGATTTTGGGCCCCGTTTTTAAATTGGTCCACATTGAGGTCCAAAGGGTCCAAAATTAAACTTTGTTTGATTTCATCAAAAATTGAATTATTGGGGTTCTTTGATATGCCGAATCTAACTGTGTATTTAGATTCTTAAATTTTGGTTCCGTTTTCAAATTGGTCTACATTAAGGTCCAAAGGGTCCAAAATTAAACTTAGTTTGATTTTAACAAAAATTGAATTCTTAGGGTTCTTTGATATGCTGAATCTAAACATGAATTTAGATTTTTGATTATGGGCCCAGTTTTCAAGTTGGTCCAAATCAGGGTCCAAAATTAAACTTTGTTTGATTTCAACAAAAATTGAATATATGGGGTTCTTTGATATGCTGAATCTAACCATGTATTTAGATTTTTGATTTTTGGGCCCCGTTATCAACTTTGTTCACATTGAGGTCAAAAGGGTCCAAAATTAAACTTTGTTTGATTTCATCAAAAATTGAATTATTGGGGTTCTTTGATATGCCGAATCTAACCGTGTATTTAGATTCTTAATTTTTGGTTCCGTTTTCAAATTGGTCTACATTAAGGTCCAAAGGGTCCAAAATTAAACTTAGTTTGATTTTAACAAAAATTGAATTCTTAGGGTTCTTTGATATGCTGAATCTAAACATGTATTTAGATTTTTGATTATGGGCCCAGTTTTCAAGTTGGTCCAAATCGGGGTCCAAAATTAAACTTTGTTTGATTTCAACAAAAATTGAATATATGGGGTTCTTTGATATGCTGAATCTTACCATGTATTTAGATTTTTGATTTTTGGGCCCCGTTATCAACTTTGTCCACATTGAGGTCAAAAGGGTCCGAAATTAAACTTTGTTTGATTTCATCAAAAATTGAATTCTTGGGGTTCTTTGATATGCTGAATCTAACCATGTATTTAGATTTTGGATATTGGACCATGATAGGTGAATGTCCAATTTAAAATTTTTAAGTTCTTAGACCACATTCAATCTGTGTTAGAAACCTATGCTGTGTCAAATATTTAATCACAATCCAAATCCAAAGCTGTATCAAGCTTGAATGTTGTGTCCATACTTCCCCCAACTGTTCAGGGTTCGACCTCTGCGGTCGTATCAAGCTGCGCCCTGCGGAGCATTTTATTAAATATATGTGTTTAGTGCCGATGCAAAGACCCTATAAGTGAATAAAAGCATGTTATTAAAATGTTTATGTAAAATACAAATAAATGAATGTAGATTTCAATAGGTGACAATGAGGCAAAACCCAAACAATATTCTTGAAATCAAAAATGGACATGTATAGTAATATTGCCATACAATTGGAAGTATTTATCTCTCAAATTATTATTGTTTATATTAACTTTATGCAATAGCATTATTTATGTACATTAATATTTGTGCTTGTAGATAACCATGTATATTGTGCACCACACAATAGGCCACTGGGGTGATATTTTCCTCCAAGTCTATTGTCACAGCAACTGTTACTTAAAACTCTCGGCCTGATTTGAGTCATTAATGGCAAAACCAGATTCTTAGTTCTTTAAGAGATGTTTCCAAACACAATAGGCCACTGGAGCTAAATGCTCCAAGTCTACTGTAAATCTACATTGGTTGACTCATTGATATGACACATCAGGCCACTGGAGAAACCTATTCTCTATGTCTGATGTGGATCTTTGAAGAACGTATGTAGATAACATATTTTTGACAGCAACTTTTCTTTCTAATATCCCATTTAACATCAATTTTACTTCATATTTTCTTCCTTGAACACATTGTTGCATTTTATTTATGTGAAATAGTTTTATACATGATGCACAGACAGTGAAATTTGAATCCCCTGACTTTGATATAATGACTCCTAGTTAAAACAGTACTTGATCTATCAAATATTGAAATTTCAATATGAACAGTCCTGCAAGATATTTTTTATCAAAATAAAATTTTACGTTGAATGAAGAATAAAACTTGCTGATCCATATTTAAGTTATTCTTATTTAAATCCTTAAAAACAGGAAATATTCAAGCTAGAATTGCGGAATCAGATAATATCATGCTCTGCATGAAAAATTTAAACTTGTGTAAATCCATGAATTTATATTGCAGAGTGAGAAAACAAGTAGTGAACATACCATCTTACATTGTCAGATTGGACTCCCAGAAACACATAGACTTTTCACTTAGATCACCATACGGTGGTGGACGTCCAGGTAATGAAAAATGAAATGCTGATTCTTCCTAGGAAGTTTTATAAATTTTTTCCCTCTCAAACCACTTGATTTTTATACGCCCGTTTACGGGACGTATTATGGTATACCTCTGTCCGTCCATCCGTCTGTCCGTCATCAAAATGTCGGACATTAACTCAAAAATGCTTTAACCAATTTGCATGAAACTTTGGTGAATTGTTTATATCTATTGACGTGAGCTCCCTTTTGTTTTTTATAAAATTTAGATTTTACGTTTCCGAGTTGTGGGGTTTTATTCATTAAAAAAAGGGGGATTTTCCAGTTTTTGGACAATAATTCAAGAATGCTTTCACCAACTTGCAAGAAATTGTGGTGAATTGTTTATATCTATTGACATGAGCTCCCTTTCAATTTTTATAAATTTTAGATTTCACGGTTCTGAGTTGCAGGGTTTTATTCATGAAAAAAGGGGGGATTTTCCAGTTTTCGGACAAAAACTCAAAAATGCTTTCAGCAATTCTAATGAAACTTTGGTGAATTGTTTGTATGTATTGATGTAAGCTCCCTTTAGAATTTTATAAATTTTACATTTTACATTTCTGAGTTATGGGGTTTTATTCATTAAAAAAAGGGGTGATTTTCCAGTTTTCGGACAATAACTCAAAAATTCTGTCACCAATTCTCATGAAACTTTGGTGAATTGTTTATATCTATTGATGTAAGCTCCCTTTTTATTTTCATAAATTTCTAATATGACATTGAGAATTAATTGAACTTTATTTGTTTATAGTCTGACAACAGATTTACTAAGTATTGCACAATAGCAAGAAATCTTTAATTGAATATAAATTCAATTCATATAACCAATTTCAAGATCTTTGACTACATTTATTCAGAAACCTATAATATGTCAAATATTTAATTACAATCCAAATTCGGACCTGAATCAAGCTTGAATATTGTCCATTTTTGTCCCAACTGTTCAGGGTTGGACCTCTGCGGGCGTATCTAGCTGCGCTCAGCGAAGCAGTTTATTCTAGTTTGTTAAATTGTGTGTTCTGAACATTTTATTTTTCAAAAATATTGCAAAGAATATGTATATTGGTTTTACAAAATTCTAAACATTTTTATATAAGAATAATCGTTAGCTCTAAAATAAATATATATCACTACAACCATCAGAGATATGGTTCTGCAGCTACATGTACATTTAGATAATGAAAGGAGAGAGCACATTCACAAAATTTGAAGGATTTTGCCTTGTCAAAATACACAAGAGAATAGATCAAAATGTTTCTAGGAGAAACTGCTTTATTACATTATTTTGCCTCAAACATCACTGAAAAGACATAAATTTTCAAAATGTGCATCTGGTCCTGTACAATTGGTACTGTTGATGCTATTTAATTATAAATCTGTGAAAACAAAATAATTGTTTGTAAACAATAAAAATCCATTATTCTTTTTTTCAGGACGTGCCAAGAGGAAGAACATGAAGAAAGGACAAGGTGGAGCAGGTGGTGAAGAAGATGAGGATTAAATGAACATTTTCCCCAGTCTCATTAATAAAGTGATAAGACAATATTTATGATGTTGACATTTTCATTTCACAAATTTGCAAGTGAATTTTATGCTTTTCAGGCAATTGAAAACAAACAAGACAGTTAAGGTCTTTTTTGCTTCAGAATCTCCTTTTTAGTCCCCTACAGACGAAGTTTATACTTGACATGTATATAAACCAACATCAGAGGGTGTGTCATAATTTATGTACAACTTCCTAGGTCAAAGGTCAAGGTAAAAAAATATGGTTTCATTTGACAACCCCATGTCCTATGGTATAGATCGTGTCCGCTCTATATCTTGAGAACCGTTATGATTTCAAAGTTTATACTTGACATGTATATAAACCAACACCAGAGGGTGTGTCATAATTTATGTACAACTTCCTAGGTCAAAGATTAAGGTTAAAAACTATGGTTTCAGTTGACAACCTCATGTCCTATGGTAAAGATACCAATATTTTATACGACCACAAAAAAAATTTGTGGTCGTATATTGGTATGACGTTGGCATCATCGTCGTCGTTGTCCGAAGACACATTGGTTTTCGCACTCTAACTTTAGTTTAACTTTAGTTTAAGTGAATGGATCTCGATGAAATTTTACCATAAGGTTCAATACCACAAAGGGAAAGCTGGAATTTAGTTTGGGGGTGATTGCCCAAAACATTTAGGAATAAGGGGCCAAAAATAAGCATTTTTCTAGTTTCCAGACAATAACTTGTGTTCAAGTGTATGGATCTCTCTGAAATTGTACTGCAAGGTTCCATATCACAAAGGGAATGTTTGGATTGATTTTGGGGGTAATTGCCTTAAAATTTTAGGAATTAGGGGCAAAAAACAAGCATTTTTTTAGTTTCATGACAATAACTTGTGTGCAAGTCTATGAATCTTTCTGAAATTGTACTACTAGGTTCCATATCACAAAGGGAAAGCTGGAATTGAGTTTGGGGGTAATTGCCCAAAACGTTTAAGAATAAGGGGGCCAAAAATAAGCATTTTTCTAGTTTCCAGATTATAACTTGTGTTCAAGTGTATGGATCTCTCTGAAATTATACTGCAAGGTACCATACCACAAAGGGAAGGCTGGGATTGATTTTTGGGGTAATTGCCTCAAAATTTTAGAAATTAGGGGCAAATAACAAGTATTTTTATACGCCCGTCAAAATTGACGGGACGTATTATGGTATACAAATGTCCGGTGTCCGTCTGTCTGTCCGGCGTAAACATGTCGCCCCGTAACTTTAGAATGACTTGTCCAAATTTCATGATCTGTATACTTTTTGGTGAAAATAAGATTAAAACTTTTTGATTTGCACGACTTAGTAACTAAAACATGTGTGTTTTTTTTCACATGTCGCGCCGTATCTCAAAAACAATTTATGATTATTGCTTAAAACTTTACACACTTCTTAGTTATATTAATCTTAAGATCTGTATACTTTTTGGTGATGATTCAAAATTTTATTTTAGAGAACTTGAGTATTTTGTTAAAAAAGTGGGAGGGGTTTTTCACATGTCGCGCCGTATCTCAAAAACATTTTATGATTATTGCTTAAAACTTTACACACTTCTTAGTTATATTAACCTTAAGATCTGTATACTTATTTGTGATGATTCAAAATTTTATTTTTGAGTTATTGAGTATTTTGTTAAAAAAGGGGGAGGGGTTTTTCACATATCACGCCGTATCTCAAAAACGATTTATGATTATTGCTTAAAATTTTACACACTTCTTAGTTATATTAATCTAAAGATCTGTATACTTTTTGGTTTTGATTCAAAATTTTATTTTTGAGATATTGTTTTTTTTTTTCATTTAAAAGGTGGGTTTTCACATGTCACGCGGCTCACGCCGTATGTCAGAAACTATTTATGCTTATTGCATAAAAATTCACACACAAGACGACGGGCGTATCATGCGCTCATGGCGCGGCTGTTTATTACAACACGTTCACAGCGGGGCCCACAGAGATGGCTCCCATCTCAATGATATCTAGTTATATTTAGTTTGTAAACAGATTTACTAAGTATTGGAATTTACACAACAGCAAGAAATCCTCAATTGTAAATAAATACAAATCTTTTAACCAATTTCAATGAGGATTAATTTAAAGTCTTGAATTGTTTGAGGTTTTTATACGTCATATATTGGTATCACCTCGTCGTCGTCCGAAGACATTTGGTTTCCTGGATAATAACTTTAGTAAATGTAAATAGAAAATCTATGAAATTTAAACACAAGGTTTATAACCACAAAAGGAAGGTTGGGATTGATTTTGTGGGTAATAGTCCTAACAGTTGAGGAATTAGGGGCCAAATAAGCATTTTTCTAGTTTCCAGACAATAACTTGTGGAACGGTGTATGGATCTCTCTGAATTTTATTCCACGTTTCCATACCAGAAAGGGATGGTTAGGATTGGCTTTGGGGGGTTATGGCTCAAATCGTTTAGGAATTCGGGGGGTGGAGGAAACCAGGGTTTCCTTGTTAATGGACAATTTAAAAGCAGTGTAAGTAAGGGAGGTAATCCAAACACATTTAAAGTACAATGTTGTGTATGTTTGGATTTACCTCCTTACACTTCTTTCTAGTTTCAGGACAATAACTTGTGTATAAGTATTTTGATTGCTCTGAAATTGTACCACAAGTAGAAGGTTGGGATTCATTTTGGGGGTAATCCGTTCAGGAATTAGGGTCCAAAAAAGGGTCTAAAACAAGCATTTTTCTAGTTTTCAGACAATAACTTTTGTCTTAAGTGTATGGATGTCTTTTAATTTGTACCACATTTTACAAAAAGAAAATTTCTTCAAAATTATTTTTTTTTGAAGAGGGGCTTACAATTATTTTTTTTTGGGGGGGGGGGGCAATTATTTTCCTCAAAAGAAAATTCTCTTCAAGTATTGTTTTTTTTTGGAAGGGGGTTAAAAAAAAAATTTTTTGGGGGGGGGGGGTCAATTTTTAGTCCCTTACCGATGAAGTCGTAGGGGACTTTAGGTTTGCACTCCGTTCGTCTGTCTGTCTGTCTGTCTGTCCGTCTGTCCACCTGTCAGTCCGGTAAATCAGTTTTCCAGACTTTTTTTCTTCGTGCTTGAAGATATTGATTTGATATTTGGTTTATTGATTTATCATGACAAGTTACAGGTCAAGTTCAATTTTCACGATTTTAGCTTTTCTCTTTGTTCAGTTAAAGCCATTTCCCTAGAATTAAATTTTTGATGAAATACTTATTAATTAGTAGATTTCTGTTCAAAGGGAAATAACTCATTTTTTAAAAGACAGAATGACATTTTGGATTTTTTCCTTTTCTTTGGTAAATTGTTTGAAGAATTTAGTGGTAGGTTTGTTTGTCATTCTTGAAGATATTGATTTGATAATTATTATATAGTTTTATCTTTACAAATTACAGATCAAGTTGGAATTTTGTTCCAGTCTGATAATTGTGCAGAGTTATGGTCTTTGGACATAGAAAATTCACTTAAATAATCGGTTTTCAACAGTTTTTTTCGTCATGCTTGAAGATTTTGACTTGATAATTTTATGTAGTTTACACAATGACAAGTTATAGATCAAGTTAGAATTTCGTTCCATTACAATGAATTTGTAACCGGTAGGGGACTATGTATTGCCATGCAATACTCACAGAATGCTTGCTTTCCCTCAAGATTTAAGAAACTCAATTTTCTAAAAAAAAAAAATTGGGGGTCACAATTTATTTTGCTAATTCTTTGTATATAGTCTGAAAACAGATTAATCAAGTATTGCACAACAGCAAGAAATCTTCAATTGAATATAAATTCATATCAGACATTTGGATTCCAGACAATAACTTTAGTTTAAGTGTATGGATCTCTATGAAATATGACCAAAAGGTTCAATACCACAAAAAGAAGGTTGAGATTGTTTTTGGGGTTGATGGTCCCAACCGTTTAGGAAAATTTTTGGGGGGGGGGGGGGGGGGGGGAGGGAGGGGGGCAATTTTTTTTCCTCAAAAGAAAATTCTCTTCAAATATTATTTTTTTCCCTCAAGATTTAAGAAATTTTCAATTTTCCAAAGAAAAAATTGGGGGGTCACAATTTATTTTGCGAATTCTTTGTATATAGTCTGAAAACAGGCTGTTATCTGCTTTATGGCCGGGTTGTTGTCTCTTTGACATATTCCTCATTTCCATTCTCAATTTTATTACTAAGTATTGCGCAACAGCACAGTGTATTGCACAACAGCAAGAAATCATCAATTGAATATAAATTCAAATCATAAAACCAATTTCAAGTTCTTTGACTACATTTATTCTGTGTCGGAAACCTATAATGTGTCAAATATTTAATTACAATCCAAATTCAGACCTGTATCAAGCTTAAATATTTTGTCCATTTTTGCCCCAACTGTTCAGGGTTGGACCTCTGCGGTCGTATCCAGCTGCGCTCGACGAAGCAGTTTAATTTTTTTTGGGTGGGGGTGGGGGTCAATTCGCAACAGCATAATGTATTGCACAAAAGCAAAAAATTGAATATAAATTCAAATCATATAACCGATTCTAAGTTCTTTGACTACAGTTATTCTATGTCAGAAACCTATTATGTGTCAAATATTGAATTACAATCCAAATTAAGACCTGTATAAGCGCGAATATTGTGTCCTTTTTTGCCCAAACTGTTCAGGGTTGGACCTCTGCGGTCGTATCCAGCTGCGCTCGGCGAAGCAATTTATTACCATGTATCACTGTATTGGATATTTGGACATATTTAATAAGGCCTACATTGAGGTCCAAAGGGTCCAAAATTAGACTTGAACTCTTGTGGTTCTATGATATGCTGAATCTAACTGTGCATTGAGATTTTTAGTCCCCTACCGACGAAGTCGAGGACTTTAGGTTTGCACTCCGTCCGTATGCCATCCATCAGTCCGGCAAATCAGTTTTCCACACTTTTTTTCTTCATGCTTGGAAGATATTGATTTGATATTTGATGTATTGTTTTATCTTGACAAGTTACAGATCAAGTTCAAATTTTGTTCCGGTCTGATG